TTACGTTCTTCCTGCAACATGAGAAGCGAGGGAGGGACTCTCAGCAGGGATGCAGTCTGGGACACGTAGTTGCAAACCTAGCGACTTTGTTGTTAGATTCAATGACTTTTCAGACCCCCTAACGACTTTTTTTTTAGAAAGAAAGGGACTTTTATCGACTTCTTCTGGAGTTTAGAGACTCTGACATGAAGCAGGCTTTCCTTACTGAGGAGTTAGCAACGCTGCTAAGGGTGCAGAGCCACACATGCGCTCCGAGCTCTGCATGGGAGACTGAAGCTGACAGAGCTGCAGCAGTTAGCAGGTTTCACCCTCAGAGACCACCAGGGGTTCATGTTGAGGCATTTAAAAAAATTTTTTTTGTGCCATAGACACTGTCAGCACAATCTGCAGTTACACTAACAAAAATGCTGCAAAAAACAAAGAATTATGGAAAAATTACACATGGACTGACATAGAGGAGGATCTACACAAGTTTTTTACATCATGTTTTACATCATGCATCATTTACATCATGTTTTTTTGTAGTGGCATAAATAAAAAGTGACATTTGTGAGACTATACAGTGTTTTGTAAATAATTTTACAAAGAACGCCTGGGCCATTGCCTGCATTTTGATGAAAATAGAGGTAAATCACTATGTTCTTTGTTAAAAATTTGCATATGTTTTGAAGTTTACAATTTTTATTTGAAGTTTAAGTTTTAAAAACAGTTCATCACACATATTTGTGGTTTTCACAGTAAAAATGTTACTTTTTTCCACTCGGATTTTATGTTTTGTGTGTGAATTTGGGTCCATTGTGTAAATTCAGTATGTCAACATGATAAAATAACTGTAAATTCGTACAGGTGAGGTTGTGCTGAAAAAAATGATACCAGGCAAGGCACGTGATTGTCAAATTTTGTGTCAATATGACAAAGCGTATAGGCGTGAATCTCAACAATATGTATTTTCACCTTAGGGGACAAGAAAAAATGGACTTTTTTCTCCTGCCATGGGGGGCGCTCTTTTGGGGAGTAAAAATTCCTTCACAAATGTGTTGATGGCTGGACATTGCATCATCCTAGAAAACTTGGAGGCCAGTGAGGACAAAAATAAAAAGTTATAAGACTTTTAAATATGTGGATGTTAGGGTTATCTTTGGCGCCCCCTAGAACCTAAACCGTGGGGTGCAGCGTCATGATTTGAATAACTTTTAATGGCCATGGGGTGTAGATTGTCCTGAGCAAATGTGGTGCCGGTGGAACGAAAGCCTTAGGAGGAGTTAGCCACATTCCAATGTGTGCGGATCGGCAAAAAATGCGGAATAACCCTTTAACCGTACATTTGACAGATACGCGCGAATTGACTTTTTCGTAGATCTTATTGAGTTACATGTGTGTGTCAATTTTTGTGTCATTTTGACAAAGCGTATAGGCGTGACACTCAACAATGTGTATTTTCACCTTAGGGGACAAGAAAAAATGGACTTTTTTCTCCTGCCATGGGGGGCGCTCTTTTGGGGAGTAAAAATTCCTTCACAAATGTGTTGATGGCTGGACATTGCATCATCCTAGAAAACTTGGAGGCCAGTGAGGACAAAAATAAAAAGTTATAAGACTTTTAAATATGTGGATTTTAGTGTTATATTTGGCGCCCCCTAGAACCTAAACCTTGGGGTGCAGCGTCATGATTTTGATAACTTTTAATGGCCACGGGGTGTAGATTGGCCTGAGCAAATGTGGTGCCGGTGGAACGAAAGCCTTCGGAGGAGTTAGCGAAATTCCAATGTGTGCGGATCGGCAAAAAATGCGAAATAACCCTTTAACCGTACATTTGACAGATACGGCCGCACTGACTTTTTTGTAGATCTTATTGAGATACATATGTGTGTCAATTTTTGTGTCAATATGACAAAGCGTACAGGCGTGACAGTCAATAGTGTGAATTTCCACCTTAGGGGGCGCTATGGAGCCATTTTGCATTTTATTGTTTGGGCGACTTCAGAATATCGAATTTTTCACCAGGCCCGGTCGTCCTGCCAAATTTCATGAGTTTTCGCCAGTGGGAAGTGGGCCATTTTCCAGTTCAAAGGGGAGGAAAAAGAAGAAAGAAAGAAAGAAAGAAAGAAAGAAACAAAGAAAAACCACTTGGGGAATAATAGGGCCTACGCCCGGCTGCTCTGCAGCTGGCTCGGGCCCTAATAACTAGGACCCCGTTGGGACACTGGCGGGCCCGAGCCGTGTCGCGTCCCCCCCCCCAACGTGCTGCCTCCCCGTCCCATTTGTGTCCTCTGGCCATCGCCCTCTCTGGTAACGCCCATCACTGCAAAGACCCTTTTCCTTCATCGGCGTTTGCTGTTCTTCTTGCCAGTGCGTGTTGCTTTCACTTACACTTGCCACAGCCAGCCTCGTGAGTGCCTAGCCTATTGGATATCACTGTCACCTACACAGGACAGTCATTACCTTTCTATTAATACTTTGTGTTTTAATTTCACATTAATTTCCAAATTGTATAAACGACTGGAAAAAACTTGAGCCCCTGCCCCTGTATAATCATGTGCATGTCTCTGTTCTAGCTCCAAGGTGAATCTTCACTGCTCATGTTCTCCTCAGAAGCACTCACCTCACTCCCCTCAGGTTACTGTACACATGCACCAACTGCCTGCTTCAGGTTTGGATGGAGCTTCATGGTTGTCTTTTGGAGAAATGACCAGTCAAGTTGTGTTTGAAATTTGTTTTTTTCAGGGGCAAAAGGAGCCTCTGCATTCTTGTCAAATATGTAAATAGCATGTTTTTGCAGGTGCTAAAAACCAGACTCTGAGTGTGTGTGTGTGTGTGTGTGTGTGTGTGTGTGTGTGTGTGTGTGTGTGCGTGTGTGTGTGTCTGTGTGTGCGTTCAAGTCACATGACATATTTAACCGGATGTAGCTGCAAGACGGAGCCTCGTTGACTCTCCGTTTCAACTTATCTCAAAAGTGAGGACCTCAACCTATATACCAGTTTTTAAATTGTGTTGATAGGCCAAATAAAACCAGAGTTATGATAAATTATGTTCGCGATACTTTTTTTCTGCTTATTTTGATCACGTTCGGCGCTCGATCGCGCTGTATGAGACAGGAAAACATAGCATGCAGACATTAGCGACAGGTCTTACAGGCGGAAAAGGCTTGCCAAAAGAAAAAAAAAACACACCACAACATCTCTCCTATTGGTGGAAAACTTCACCACAACAACCAATCCAAAATTATATGGTGACTGATTGACAAGGGGCGGGAGCTTACGTTCTTCCTGCAACATGAGAAGCGAGGGAGGGACTCTCAGCAGGGATGCAGTCTGGGACACGTAGTTGCAAACCTAGCGACTTTGTTGTTAGATTCAATGACTTTTCAGACCCCCTAACGACTTTTTTTTAGAAAGAAAGGGACTTTTATCGACTTCTTCTGGAGTTTAGAGACTCTGACATGAAGCAGGCTTTCCTTACTGAGGAGTTAGCAACGCTGCTAAGGGTGCAGAGCCACACATGCGCTCAGAGCTCTGCATGGGAGACTGAAGCTGACAGAGCTGCAGCAGTTAGCAGGTTTCACCCTCAGAGACCACCAGGGGTTCATGTTGAGGCATTTTAATTTTTTTTTTTTTTTTGTGCCATAGACACTGTCAGCACAATCTGCAGTTACACTAACAAAAATGCTGCAAAAAACAAAGAATTATGGAAAAATTACACATGGACTGACATAGAGGAGGATCTACACAAGTTTTTTACATCATGTTTTACATCATGCATCATTTACATCATGTTTTTTTGTAGTGGCATAAATAAAAAGTGACATTTGTGAGACTATACAGTGTTTTGTAAATAATTTTACAAAGAACGCCTGGGCCATTGCCTGCATTTTGATGTAAATAGAGGTAAATCACTATGTTCTTTGTTAAAAATTTGCATATGTTTTGAAGTTTACAATTTTTATTTGAAGTTTAAGTTTTAAAAACAGTTCATCACACATATTTGTGGTTTTCACAGTAAAAATGTTACTTTTTTCCACTCGGATTTTATGTTTTGTGTGTGAATTTGGGTCCATTGTGTAAATTCAGTATGTCAACATGATAAAATAACTGTAAATTCGCACAGGTGAGGTTGTGCTGAAAAAAATGATACCAGGCAAGGCACGTGATTGTCAAATTTTGTGTCAATATGACAAAGCGTATAGGCGTGAATCTCAACAATATGTATTTTCACCTTAGGGGACAAGAAAAAATTGACTTTTTTCTCCTACCATGGGGGGGCGCTCTTTTGGGGAGTAAAAATTCCTTCACAAATGTGTTGATGGCTGGACATTGCATCATCCTAGAAAACTTGGAGGCCAGTGAGGACAAAAATAAAAAGTTATAAGACTTTTAAAAATGTGGATTTTTGGGTTATCTTTGGCGCCCCCTAGAACGTAAACCGTGGGGTGCAGCGTCATGATTTGAATAACTTTTAATGGCCATGGGGTGTAGATTGGCCTGAGCAAATGTGGTGCCGGTGGAACGAAAGCCTTCGGAGGAGTTAGCGAAATTCCAATGTGTGCGGATCGGCAAAAAATGCGCAATAACCCTTTAACCGTACATTTGACAGATACGCGCGCATTGACTTTTTCGTAGATCTTATTGAGATACATGTGTGTGTCAATTTTTGTGTCATTTTGACAAAGCGTACAGGTGTTACACTCAACAATGTGTATTTTCACCTTAGGGGACAAGAAAAAATGGACTTTTTTCTCCTGCCATGGGGGGGCGCTCTTTTGGGGAGTAAAAATTCCTTCACAAATGTGTTGATGGCTGGACATTGCATCATCCTAGAAAACTTGGAGGCCAGTGAGGGCAAAAATAAAAAGTTATAAGACTTTTAAATATGTGGATCTTAGGGTTATCTTTGGCGCCCCCTAGAACCTAAACCGTGGGGTGCAGCATCATGATTTGAATAACTTTTAATGGCCATGGGGTGTAGATTGGCCTGAGCAAATGTGGTGCCGGTGGAACGAAAGCCTTCGGAGGAGTTAGCGAAATTGCAATGTGTGCGGATCGGCAAAAAATGCGAAATAACCCTTTAACCGTACATTTGACAGATACGCCCGCACTGACTTTTTTGTAGATCTTATTGAGATACATGTGTGTGTCAATTTTTGTGTCATTTTGACAAAACATACAGGCGTGACAGTCAATAGTGTGAATTTTCACCTTAGGGGGCGCTATGGAGCCATTTTGCATTTTCTTGTTTGGGCGACTTCGGAATATCGAATTTTTCACCAGGCCCGGTTGTCCTGCCAAATTTCATGAGTTTTCGCCAGTGGGAAGTGGGCCATTTTCCAGTTCAAAGGGGAGGAAAAATAATAACTAGGACCCCGTTGGGGCACTGGCGGGCCCGAGCCGTGTCGCCCCCCCCCCCCCCCCCAACGTGCTGCCTCCCCGTCCCATTTGTGTCCTCTGGCCATCGCCCTCTCTGGTAACGCCCATCACTGCAAAGACCCTTTTCCTTCATCGGCGTTTGCTGTTCTTCCTGCCAGTGCGTGTTGCTTTCACTTACACTTGCCACAGCCAGCCTCGTGAGTGCCTAGCCTATTCGATATCACTGTCACCTACACAGGACAGTCATTACCTTTCTATTAATACTTTGTGTTTTAATTTCACATTAATTTCCATATTGTATAAACGACTGGAAAAAACTTGAGCCCCTGCCCCTGTATAATCATGTGCATGTCTCTGTTCTAGCTCCAAGGTGAATCTTCACTGCTCATGTTCTCCTCAGAAGCACTCACCTCAGGTTACTGTACACATGCACCAACTGCCTGCTTCAGGTTTGGATGGAGCTTCATGGTTGTCTTTTGGAGAAATGACCAGTCAAGTTGTGTTTGAAATTTGATTTTTTTCAGGGGCAAAAGGAGCCTCTGCATTCTTGTCAAATATGTAAATAGCATGTTTTTGCAGGTGCTAAAAACCAGACTCTGAGTGTGTGTGTGTGCGTGTGTGTGTGTGTGTCTGTGTGTGTGTGTGTGTGTGTGTGTGTGTGCGTTCAAGTCACATGACATATTCAACCGGATGTAGCTGCAAGACGGAGCCTCGTTGACTCCGTTGAGGGGCGGGCGCTTACGTTCTTCCTGCAATATGAGAAGGGAGGGAGGGACTCTCAGCAGGGATGCAGTCTGGGACACGTAGTTGCAAACCTAGCGACTTTGTTGTTAGATTCAATGACTTTTCAGACCCCCTAACGACTTTTTTTTAGAAAGAAAGTGACTTTTATCGACTTCTTCTGGAGTTTAGAGACTCTGACATGAAGCAGGCTTTCCTTACTGAGGAGTTAGCAACGCTGCTAAGGGTGCAGAGCCACACATGCGCTCCGAGCTCTGCATGAGACTGAAGCTGACAGAGCTGCAGCAGTTAGCAGGTTTCACCCTCAGAGACCACCAGGGGTTCATGTTGAGGCATTTTCAGTTTTTTTTTTTTTTTTTGCCATAGACACTGTCAGCACAATCTGCAGTTACACTAACAAAAATGCTGCAAAAAACAAAGAATTATGGAAAAATTACACATGGACTAACATAGAGGAGGATCTACACAAGTTTTTTACATCATGTTTTACATCATGCATCATTTACATCATGTTTTTTTGTAGTGGCATAAATAAAAAGTGACATTTGTGAGACTATACAGTGTTTTGTAAATAATTTTACAAAGAACGCCTGGGCCATTGCCTGCATTTTGATGTAAATAGAGGTAAATTACTATGTTCTTTGTTAAAAATTTGCATATGTTTTGAAGTTTACAATTTTTATTTGAAGTTTAAGTTTTAAAAACAGTTCATCACACATATTTGTGGTTTAATTTCACATTAATTTCCATATTGTATAAATGACTGGAAAAAACTTGAGCCCCTGCCCCTGTATAATCATGTGCACGTCTCTGTTCTAGCTCCAAGGTGAATCTTCACTGCTCATGTTCTCCTCAGAAATAGTCACCTCACTCCCCTCAGGTTACTGTACACATGCACCAACTATCTGCTTCAGGTTTGAAATGGAGCTTCATGGTTGTCTTTTGGAGAAATGAACAGTCAAGTTGTGTTTGAAATTTGATTTTTTTCAGGGGCAAAAGGAAGCCTCTGCATTCTTGTCAAATATGTAAACAGCATGTTTTTGCAGGTGCTAAAAAACAGACTCTGAGTGTGTGTGTGTGTGTGTGTGTGTGTGTGTGTGTGTGTGTGTGTGTGTGTGTGTGTTGGCGTGTGTGTATATGTGTGTGTATCCTGCAGTACTCTGTACTCCTGCAGTGGCCAAAAAGACTTTTAAGAATGTGGATTTTTGGGTCATCTTTGGCGCCCCCTAGAACTGCAGTACTCTGTACTCCTGCAGTGGCCAAAATGACTTTTAAGAATGTGGATTTTTGGGTCATCTTTGGCGCCCCCTAGAACGTAAACCGTGGGGTGCAGCGTCATGATTTTTACAACTTTGAATGGGCATGGGGTGTAGATTGCCCTGAGCAAATTTGGTATCGGTGGGACGAAAGCCTTAGGAGGAGATAGCCACATTCCAATGTGTGCGAATCGGCAAAAAATGCAAAATAGCCCTTTAACCGTACATTATACAGATACGCGCTCTTTGACTTTTTCGTAGATCTAATTGAGATACACATGATTGTCAATTTTTGTGTCAATATGACAAAGCGTTCAGGCGTGACACTCAACAATGTGTATTTTTATGTAAGGGGACAAGAAAAAATTGACTTTTTTCTCCTACCATGGGGGGCGCTCTTTTGGGGAGTAAAAATTCCTTCACAAATGTGTTGATGGCTGGACATTGCATCATCCTAGAGAACTTGGAGGCCAGTGAGGACAAAAATAAAAAGTTATAAAACATTTAAGAATGTGGATTTTTGGGTTATTTTTGGCGCCCCCTAGAACCTAAACCATGGGGTGAAGCATCATGATTTGAATAACTTTTAATGGCCATGGGGTGTAGATTGGCCTGAGCAAATGTGGTGCCGGTGGAACGAAAGCCTTCGGAGGAGTTAGCGAAATTCCAATGTGTGCGGATCGGCAAAAAATGCGAAATAACCCTTTAACCGTACATTTGACAGATACGCCCGCACTGACTTTTTCGTAGATCTTATTGAAATACATGTGTGTGTCAATTTTTGTGTCATTTTGACAAAGCGTACAGGCGTGACAGTCAATAGTGTGAATTTTCACCTTAGGGGGCGCTATGGAGCCATTTTGCATTTTCTTGTTTGGGCGACTTCGGAATATCAAATTTTTCACCAGGCCCGGTCGTCCTGCCAAATTTCATGAGTTTTCGCCAGTGGGAAGTGGGCCATTTTCCAGTTCAAAGGGGAGGAAAAAGAAAAAAGAAACAAAGAAAAACCACTTGGGGAATAATAGGGCTCTCGCAGCTGCTTAGCAGCTACGCTCGGGCCCTAATAACTAGGACCCCGTTGGGGCACTGTCGGGCCCGAGCCGTGTCGCGCCGCCCCCAGTGCGACCGCCTCCCCCTCCCGATCGCGTCACACTCAAGATCCAAAGATGGTGTGCGCACTTGTCTGTGGTCATTTCCTATTATAATGAATGGGAGGCGCAGTTTCTACCAAAACACTCGCTGCAGACAAACTTCATGTCCTATTTGAAAAAAGTCTGGACCATGAGTGAGGGCACAAACACAGCTATGATATATCGAAATGGCAGGTTGCTCCTCCTTACGGTGTTGCCTGGAGAGCGATGCGATTGAGCCATTGAGCGATGGGCAGGAAAAACTTAACTTTTTCTCCTGCCATATGGGGGGGGGGGGGATGTGGATTCTTTGAAGAATGTGGATTTTTGGGTCATCTTTGGCGCCCCCTAGAACGTAAACCGTGGGGTGCAGCGTCATGATTTTTACAACTTTGAATGGCCATGGGGTGTAGATTGGCCTGAGCAAATTTGGTGTCAGTGGGACGAAAGCCTTAGGAGGAGTTAGCCACATTCCAATGTGTGCGAATCGTCAAAAAATGCAAAATAGCCCTTTAACCGTACATTTGACAGATACGCGCGAATCGACTCTTTTGTAGATCTTATTGAGATACATATGTGTGTCAATTTTTGTGTCAATATGATAAAGCGTACAGGCGTGACAGTCAATAGTGTGAATTTCCACCTTAGGGGACAAGAAAAAATTGGCTTTTTTTTCCTGCCATGGGGGGCGCTCTTTTGGGCAGTAAAAATTCCTTCACAAATGTGTTGATGGCTGGACATTGCATCATCCTAGAAAACTTGGAGGCCAGTGAGGACAAAAATAAAAAGTTATAAGACTTTTAAATATGTGGATTTTAGGGTTATCTTTGGCGCCCCCTAGAACCTAAACCGTGGGATGCAGCGTCATGATTTGAATAACTTTTAATGGCCATGGGGTGTAGATTGGCCTGAGCAAATGTGGTACCGGTGGAATGAAAGCCTTCGGAGGAGTTAGCGAAATTCCAATGTGTGCGGATCGGCAAAAAATGCGGAATAACCCTTTAACCGTACATTTGACAGATACGCGCGCATTGACTTTTTCGTAGATCTTATTGAGATACATGTGTGTGTCAATTTTTGTGTCATTTTGCCAAAGCGTACAGGTGTTACACTCAACAATGTGTATTTTCACCTTAGGGGACAAGAAAAAATGGACTTTTTTCTCCTGCCATGGGGGGGCGCTCTTTTGGGGAGTAAAAATTCCTTCACAAATGTGTTGATGGCTGGACATTGCATCATCCTAGAAAACTTGGAGGCCAGTGAGGGCAAAAATAAAAAGTTATAAGACTTTTAAATATGTGGATCTTAGGGTTATCTTTGGCGCCCCCTAGAACCTAAACCGTGGGGTGCAGCGTCATGATTTGAATAACTTTTAATGGCCATGGGGTGTAGATTGGCCTGAGCAAATGTGGTGCCGGTGGAACGAAAGCCTTCGGAGGAGTTAGCGAAATTCCAATGTGTGCGGATCGGCAAAAAATGCGAAATAACCCTTTAACCGTACATTTGACAGGTACGCCCGCACTGACTTTTTTGTAGATCTTATTGAGATACATGTGTGTGTCAATTTTTGTGTCATTTTGACAAAGCGTACAGGCGTGACAGTCAATAGTGTGAATTTTCACCTTAGGGGGCGCTATGGAGCCATTTTGCATTTTCTTGTTTGGGCGACTTCGGAATATCAAATTTTTCACCAGGCCCGGTCGTCCTGCCAAATTTCATGAGTTTTCGCCAGTGGGAAGTGGGCCATTTTCCAGTTCAAAGGGGAGGAAAAATAATAATAACAAAAGAAGGAAACTACAGGAACAAGAGGGCTCTCGCAGCTGCTTAGCAGCTACGCTCGGGCCCTAATAATAATAACAAAAGAAGGAAACATGCAGGAACAAGAGGGCTCTCGCAGCTGCTTAGCAGCTACGCTCGGGCCCTAAAGAAACAAAGAAAAACCACTTGGGGAATAATAGGGCTCTCGCAGCTGCTTAGCAGCTACGCTCGGGCCCTAACTAGGACCCCGTTGGGGCACTGGCGGGCCCGAGCCGTGTCGCCCCCCCCCCCCCCCAACGTGCTGCCTCCCCGTCCCATTTGTGTCCTCTGGCCATCGCCCTCTCTGGTAACGCCCATCACTGCAAAGACCCTTTTCCTTCATCGGCGTTTGCTGTTCTTCCTGCCAGTGCGTGTTGCTTTCACTTACACTTGCCACAGCCAGCCTCGTGAGTGCCTAGCCTATTCGATATCACTGTCACCTACACAGGACAGTCATTACCTTTCTATTAATACTTTGTGTTTTAATTTCACATTAATTTCCATATTGTATAAACGACTGGAAAAAACTTGAGCCCCTGCCCCTGTATAATCATGTGCATGTCTCTGTTCTAGCTCCAAGGTGAATCTTCACTGCTCATGTTCTCCTCAGAAGCACTCACCTCAGGTTACTGTACACATGCACCAACTGCCTGCTTCAGGTTTGGATGGAGCTTCATGGTTGTCTTTTGGAGAAATGACCAGTCAAGTTGTGTTTGAAATTTGATTTTTTTCAGGGGCAAAAGGAGCCTCTGCATTCTTGTCAAATATGTAAATAGCATGTTTTTGCAGGTGCTAAAAACCAGACTCTGAGTGTGTGTGTGTGCGTGTGTGTGTGTGTGTCTGTGTGTGTGTGTGTGTGTGTGTGTGTGTGCGTTCAAGTCACATGACATATTCAACCGGATGTAGCTGCAAGACGGAGCCTCGTTGACTCCGTTGAGGGGCGGGCGCTTACGTTCTTCCTGCAATATGAGAAGGGAGGG